TCTCTTAAGAAAGGCGTTTGCAGATGAGGAAAAATATTATCAGGATAACAGGAGCACAGGGCCCCATTGTTCTAAGTGCTGGGCAAATATGGGGTGATGATCCCTGCCCTAAAGAGCTTTCCAACTAAATACATAAGTGAACAGAAGAGGCAGAGGGGCAGGGAGGTGAAGTGACTCATCTGAGGTAAGTGCCAGGGCCAGGATGATACCCTCATTTATGAGCTCTCATTCTATTGCCATATCAAATAGACTGCTGCCTTTGCCCTGAGAAAAGCATGGCCCCTTATGCTGAAAGGAATATAAGCTGGAATGGGCCAATAAATCCATTCATATTTATGTAGGATTGTTAAATGTTCAGTGCCACGTTGCACCTTCATATGTTTGTACAGGGTACAATGGAGGACTCCACTCCTGGCTGAAGTTCCTTGCAACAAAAAGTCATCAGTGACAACAGTAATTAGAGACGATCAACACATTTTGAATAAGCAGCAGCTTGTCATGAAACTCCTTTTTGTTAAAGCAAAATACCCTACTCACCTCATCAGTTTTTTCAGCCTGGAAAAAAGGGTCTTTTTTAATATTTTCTCATTTTCTAGCAGAAGCTGATTAAAAAAAAACAGTTATTGTTTTCATTAAAGTGATAACAAATTAATTCAATACATTCTCCAGTTAGGAGAAGTGGGGGGAAGCCTCTTCGCCTTGGCAAACTAAGGTGTTGAAATTCCACTTGCCCCACGCTCACCAGGTTTTTATTCCAAATGTCTGATCATTTGCACTGTGATAACAGCTGGGAACCCTGATCATGGAGCAGCATAAGCTATCTGTCCCTTACAATCATATGTTCATACTTTTGTTTGTTCGGGATGCTTTTTGGTATTTAGGTACTATCCAGTGTGAGTAAGGGTACTGGCTCTGTTTCACAGCTTACTGTTGTTGCCCCCTTTGCAATGTTTTGCAAAACGAATAGCAACAATAGACACTCCTATAATGCCCTACCTGGCCTTCTAGTTAAGATCAAGCATTAGATTTAAAATAATAAGACCTCTGTTCAGGGCTTGGTGTGTCCTAACGTCCTGGATGACACAAAGTCCCAGCAGCATCTATCATTTCCACAGCAAGTCAGCCACTTAAGTGCCTAGCACACCTTTGCTAGTCTTGGATGCATACCCTCAGCCACCAGTACAGATGGGACCTGATAGATCAGTGCAAGACAAAGCAATCCTCTTTCATGCCCTATAAAATTTGCTCTTCCTACTGCAGTTTATACCTGTCATAGTGGCAGCCATTCTTCACTTCAGAGTAGGCTGACAGCATTACTCATTATAACTGAGGTTTAGACAGTGCTTTTAAGTCTGATTCAGCAAGATAGGTTGGCTTCCACCTATTTTTTAGCAATCCCACTGAAATTAATAGGACTATTCGTGCATCTTATGTTAGAGAGATGCTTAAATGCATTGGTGAATTGGACTGTTATCAGTGAAACTGAAAACACAGTACAAATGTGATCAACATGATTTTCCTCACTTCTTAAGGTCCAGGTTGGCCAAGGGGTTTGCTAAAGGTCAGAACAATAATCAGTGGCAATGCTGGAAAACAAATTTATGTCTTGCTTTTCTTCTGTCAGTGTTTAAACTTTTTGATTGTGCTTCTGAACTGCGTTATAATGTATCTGCTCTCAAGATGATGGACAGCTCCATTTTTAAATGCCATGATGCTATATGACATGACATATAGCTCTCCATAAGAAGAAACATATTCCTCATCCAAAGCATTCAGCCTGCGTTTCACTCTTCCAAATACACCCAATGTGGAATGACATCCGGAATATTTCACCATCCAGACATAGAGAAGTGCACTTGCCTAATCATATTATTGAAATATGGACAAATGCATTCCCTTGGGGTGTCTATTTATAAATAAAAGATAATTTCCAGCCTATAGTTGAGTAAATGAATGTAAATGCCGCTGTTACATTTATGCCTTGTAGTTATGACTAGTTCTTTTTTCTATGTAATGGTTCTAATCATAGTAATGACAGCAGTAGTGTCATCCAGAGCGTCTTAAGTGCTCCAGCACTTCCTGCTAATAAGTCACCGTCTTAACAGTTGGTGCAGGAGAATTGTATAGATCTAAACCTGTTAAATCAGAGTTGATTATACATAACCCAAGTAGTGGTTAGACAAAGGGTTTTTCACAGCTTGCAGCACACACAGTTGATTTTGTGGGGATTTTGCGGCAGCCCCGCCCCTCACTGCTGATTGGTAGAGGGGCCCTGGTGACCCCGCCCCTCACCACTAGTTGGCGGAGCGCACCTTCACTCAGTCTGCCATTACTGTTGGCGGGGGGGGGGAGGGGGTTGGCAGATTTTCAGCCAATACCAGATTCCCTGGCAATCGTGGATTTCCGTTTTTTCCAGTTTCTGCAAAATCTGTGAAACCGTGACTTGTGTAGGTCCCTAGTTATGTATGATGGTGCACAGTGATTGCTGGCATCTTATATCTAGCTTGTGGGATAAATCTGCATTCAAGTAATATTCAGTCTCTTCCATTTAGAATACGATTGCAGCAATAGTTGCTGATAAGATGGTTAGGGCAAAAGCCCCTACTCTAGCCGGCATCTGACATAATTGAGGAGGAGAAAGCAAAACCTGCAGAAAGCTCTGTTTCACATTTTTTCTTCCCTGAGCTGGCTAGGTACCAAGCCTGTTCCCCAGCAAAATTCAGAGCAGCCTGAAGGTTGCCCTAATGTATATTAGTTGCCACTGGGCCACAAGTGGTTATTTTAACTGCCAGAAATGGTTAGTGTACAAGCTTACGTTAATTCAGCATTCTGCCCTTTTCTGCATTTGAAGCCTGCAAATGGGAACTGAATAATCTTTGTGAAATCTTGGTGGAAACTGACATAGTGAAATGCATCAGAATAATGATTTCCACCCACCAAGCCCTGAATAGCATATAAATAATTTAAGAAAGCTCATCAGCCCAACTAGGATCTACTGATTATCTAGAAATTGTTAACTGATCTCTCTCTCTTAGCTACTATAGCAAGCAGCAAAATTCATGAAGGCCTGGATCCTGAAATGAGTTCCTGCAGACACAGAGGCAGTGCCACTAACTCTTGATTTTTAATACGAGCATCCTGATCTCCAGGGATCCTGCTTTTCTCTGTTTAAAAATGGCAACTTCTCTTATTAAAAACATAAAATTCATGTTTTTCTGTGGTAATTTGGAAGCCTACCAGTACCTCAGTCACTATAAAAAAAAAAAAATCTAAATACCTATACATTTTGACATTTGATTTTGGCGTTCTTATCATGGAAAATCAGAGCACCCCCTGCCCCCTTCACTCCCCAGGACGCAAGTCCAGCTGCAGCTGCCCTCCTTAACTGTTTTGTGGCACTGAGCAGCTTTGATATGCCATGCCATTGACCCTCACTCCCAAACCATAGCCCCCTGGTCCTGCTAGTGCCACTCACTCCCTACCCACTCCTCGCACCCCCAGTCCTGCTGGCGGGGGCCGCAACCTGCAAGGGCTGCGGGGCTGGGGACCCAGATCTGCAGCCCTCTGCCCCTCCCTGCCCCTCACAGCAGTGCCTGAGCCCTGGCTGCTGCCTGTGGGAGGTGGTGGCTGCTGTGGCCTGAGTGGAGTGCAGAGCCCACCTCCCCTCCTCATCGCCCATGGGCAGCACTGATGCAGCAGAGCCTGTGATGGCATGCAGATGCACGCTGGCGAGTGTGAGATTGGGGCTTCCTGCTCTGCTGACCTCTCCCCAGGGGCCCTCATGGTCCAGTGGGTGGGACCTGGCAGGGTGGGCTGGGTGGTTTGGTGCCACTGCCAGGAGCCCCACACCACTTCCCTGCCCTGCTCTGCCACGTCCTATCCACTGGGCGGTGAAGGCACTGAAGGAAGGGCAGCAGGGTGGGGAGCCCGCATTTTTGCACCCCTGCCTCTTGCACAAATCTGGGGGGCACATGGCCCACTCCTGGAAGTGCACGTAGTGGTGGGGAGACCCTCTCCCGCCGCCACTGCTGGGAGCTCCCACCACCCTTGCCCATGGCTTCATCCTGGGCCCTGTGGCTGCACATTCCCTCCCCTTTCCCAGGCCCCACGCCCCACACTGTCCAGCTGGGCAGCCCCCCAGCCCTGTCCGATTTGCGCCCTCACTGTGGGGATATCAATCCCCCCCCGAACTAACCTGCGGGAGCTGCTCTCCACGTCGCCTGGCTGCCACGTGCTTACATGCGCGTGCAAATGCACACAGTGCCCTGCCTGATCACCCTCCTCCCGCTCCCACCAGCCCCTGGCAGGCTGGAACTCTGCCAGCCTGCAGAGGGAAGCCCATTGTTTCCTGCTTTTCTCTCCTTAAAAGAGAAAATCTGGGTTTTTTCGTCCTTGAAATGAGAAAATCTGCATGTTTTCGTGTGGTGAACAGTAAATCGTGATCCTTGGTGATTTGTAATGTTCCTTTAAAGTCAAGATGCCTGGAATCATGTATGTATGGGAGAAGGTGAATACCCTTCCTGTTGGTTGTTAAGAACAGCTGCCGATAGGACTCACACGTATCCTATCAGCTGAAAAAACAGGAGGCAAATGAAAACAGTACCCAATTATTTTTAAAGCTCATGAATTTGAACTGTGCATATTGGCAATGCTGCAAACGTCTCTATGCATGAAACTTGCTTCAGGGTCAGGCCCAATTTTGGAGAGAATCGTTAGACACTATTAGCAGAAACCATTTCAGGGAAGTAATTCCCAATTCTAGTAGCAAGCTCTTACTCAACTATTAGAGTGGTGATGTAATGCATACTTGCAAAAACATTGTATCCCCTAATTCATGCCTGAGAAAATGTCTGGAGAAGGGATAAATCTATTAACTGATCCTAAGTAGAGGAAGAAGCAGGTGACTGGGCAAGAGAGGGAAAAGCAGAGCAGAGAGATCCTGAATGCTGGATATCTGTTGATGCAAATTTATAGGAAAGTTGTGATTTTTGTGTTCCCAGACCTACTGCAACTGGAAGCATAAAGTCTGTAAGCACCTGACTGACTTTGAACTTGGATTTGCTGCTCAGCGTTGCAAGCCAGAGTGGGACAGAATTTGTGATCCAGAGAGGGAATGGAAATGGTGCTGTACTATCAGGTAAGATTATTTCCTGGGATAGATATCCCATGGCAAACTCCCAGAAAGGAAATAGAGCTGAATGAAATTTATAATCTAAAATAAATGTCCTTTGCAATACAAAAGACAAATGTTTGGGTCTGACAACAAAAGCTCTTTATGTTTTGTATAGAAGTAAGGTATTGGGTTTTGAGAATATGTTACTTGTTTTTATGTGTATGCATGGTAATCCTGCATGTTAATGCAGCAGCGTGCTTTTGAAAAGATCTCCTTGGAGGAATTCTGAATACTGTCTGCTGGGCCAAATCTGTTCTCATCTGTACTCCTGTTAAATCAGGAGCAACTCCAACATGAGACCAGTCCCCAGGAATTACTGTGGATTTACACAGATGCAAGAAGGAATTGGCCTTCCATCTTTATAGTTAGTGTTGATAAGAGCAAATGATCACTGCTGTCTTTCACTACTTTATCTGCTTGTTTCACTGTAACAAAGATTTATTTTGCCACCCTGGTCTAGAAACTGTGACTACCCTTGAGGTAGTGTGCTGCTTCCCCTAGTGTCAGTCAGCTGACTGTGCTGGGCTCCTTGTGCCAACAAAGCAGTGCAACTTCATAAGCAGTGTAGAAAAGCAGCTGTTTCTGTCTGGTGTGTGGCTGTACTTTTTATTCATGGCAAGAGTTTAAGAGGATGGGAAGCTTTGGGCTTGGAGGATGTGCAAAATACATGCTTCAAAAGGGAATTCTTGACGTGGGAATTAAAATTTAGCTCAAGGAGCTTAGGAAGCATTTGCACAAGTGCCTTAAAAAGGAAAGAACAGTGGTGTAAGAATGTTTTATATAAACTGGGAAACAAGAAGTTGAAGAGTCCTTCAGTATTAGCTACAAATACAAGTTAACTGTGGCATGGAATCCAGCTGGGCTTTGTACTGCTTGAATATGAACAATTGGAGATTCAGATTTCAGTTGTGATCTGCATCTTGGTTCCTAGAAAATTTGGTTGTACAGAGATGTTGAGGTTAGATAAAGCTTAATTACCTGCTTGAACAACAAGTATACAACAAAAGTATGCAGCATACAATTACAAGGCAAAATAATGCAAGAGGCAAGGATTTTTGTGAGTGATCTTTATCCCAACCACATAGTTAGTCCACTAAAGTTAGACATGTTTTTCAATGCAAAACATTCTTCATCAGGTCACTGAAGAATCACTCCCAACACTATCAAGGCAAAATAACACATCTGTCTTGCCCTTAGAGTTATCTGGTACAAGGCCATCCCTGTTTATCCATTTGAGGGCTCTACTTCTGATGAAGAACATTTCTGTATTTGTGTGTCTTGAACCATACCTTTTATTCAAGCTTTGTAAAGGTTTAAGGGACTTTGGAACTAGATCCAGATGTCATGCCTTGCCTGTTATCTCTTACCTTTCATGGCCCAGATTTTTAAGGGATCCTACAGTCAAAATTAGGAGATTGGTGTGTCAACGCCTACACAGTAAGATGAGTCGCCAACTGGCTGGAGGGCCGCACCCAGAGAGTGGTGGTGGATGGGTCATTTTCGACTTGGAGGGATGTGGGCAGTGGGCTCGGTCCTCGGGCTCACACTGTTCAATATCTTCATCAGCGACTTGGACAAGGGGGTAAAAAGCACCCTATTCAAATTTGCAGATGATGCTAAGATGTGGGGGGATGTGGGCATGCTAGAAGGGAGGGACAGGCTGCAATTGGATCTGGACAGGTTACAGGCATGGGCTGATAAGAAAAAGATGGGATTCAACACGGACAAGTGCAAGGTGATGCACCTGGGGAGAAAGAACCAGCACCATACCTACAGGCTGGGGAACTCCCTTCTCGTCAGTGCAGAGGCAGAAAAGGATCTTGGAGTCATCATCAATGCTGAGATGAACATGAGTCGGCAGTGTGGGGATGGGGTCAGGAAGGCCAACCGCACCTTGTCGTGCATCCACAGATGCATCTCGAGCAGGTCCAAGGAAGTGATCCTCCCCCTCTATGCAGCACTGGTCAGGCCGCAGTTGGAGTACTGCGTCCAGTTCTGGGCGCCGCACTTCAGGAGGGATGTGGACAACATGGAGAGGGTCCAGAGAAGGCCACTCGCATGATCAGGGGGCAGCAGGGCAGGCCCTACGAGGAGAGGCTACGGGACCTGAACCTGTTCAGCCTCCACAAGAGAAGGCTGAG